CTGGATAAGGCTGGGAGCTGCTGTGCCGAGCTCTTCCAATTGGAGCCGTGCATTTTACAATTACATAGTCACTCTTGCAAATTGGATATTGGCAATACATTGATTCCCATCGATTATGAGGAATTTTATGCAGGTTTGGAGCGGCCGCTGGTTTAAATGTGTGCAGCCAAATTGTTTGAAGGTCTGTACGTGTTTGTGTTGTGTGTGTGTGTGAATATTCTGTAACCGTAGGAAATAATTAACGTAATACTTTTCAGTCTTGTGTCAGTCCGCTGCTTTTGATGGAGGCCTTGTCATGCCTCGTCAACCGTGGGGGTCGTTTGACCACATGTCACCGTGTGGATCAGTGCAGGACCGGTGTCCAGGAATCGCTCGTCACTGATGTTAGCCTTGGCCTGCAACAAGACTCAGGCCCACGCACGGGTTCACCGTACGGTGCGCTCACCATAGCGCCACCGCTTCACCATTATCAGCTGTGTGAACGATCGGCACCAATCTTGGTGAGGCTCAACTTGGCCCCATCAAAACCTTGCCCATGTGGTGGGGTTAAATGAGGCACTGTACTGTCGCCTGAATTCACAACTAACATTACATTTATGAACAGAGACATTTCAAGTTTTATTTAGCTGAACCAGGTGGGAACTTGAGAGACCAGAGGAATGAGTCTCGTTTGCAAGAGTGATCATCGGTGTCATCACATTTACAAAAGCAAAGCAAATAAAATAAAGTTACAGCAATGAAGTGAATATCAGTGTAACAAAAATGTGTTCCTGGGTAGTGTAGTAAGTGTTATTTCCTAATTGCTGGTGCCTCAAAAGTACAGAAAATGGCTATTACTCCCCACAAATGTTGCTTTTGTGACCAAGACAGGGATATTTTGATATTTGCCTATTTTCAATGAGAACAGGCGAATTTGTGTAAATTCGTTCACATGAAGTCAGAAAAAACAACATATTAATAAAAATTAACATGTATTTATACTGAAGTAATACAAAAATGACTACATAGTGATATAAATCAGAGCAAAAACAACTGCGTGGCGCATGAGAACTCGAATACATTGCACGTGCGTGAATCGGTGTTAAATTATAAATTCCCTCTCGCGGAAGCTGGCTCAGGCAGATTATAAAAAGATTACAAAAAAGTGAAAGTGGCTTCCCACTCGGGAGAGAGGGGTAGAGAACCATTGCTTACAGCCAGGGTGAGATTCCAATTGGGGTTACAAGTCTGTTTCTAGGGAGAGCTGGTTTACAAAGGCAGATACAAGAGTCGAAAAAGCGAATTTGCAAGAAAACAAAGCGTTAAATGTTTCAATAAAATTAAATTGAAAGAAATAAAAAAAAACAATTAACACGGAGGCAAAAATAACACAAATCAGATAAATTGGAAGTGTGCAACTTAACGAGGTAGAACAGCGATAAAGAAGCGATTGCACTCGGCTTCAAAGTAATTAATCCGATTGATCGTAGAAGATCGTGTAAAACATTAATGTAGGGGCAGTGCTCTTCCACTTATGATGTGAAACTGAATTTCTTTTTCTTTGTTGATCCCTCTAGCCGTGTGCACTTCGGTCCCCTACCGCACTGCGCGGTTGTCATTTGTTAAGCCAGGCATCCCTTGAAAAAGAGACTCGGTGGCAAGCGGAGGTGCCAGCGGTCAGCACACGGTGCTGCTATACACACCTAGCGACCCGAGTACGATTCCCGGCCAAGGCTAACGGCTGTAAAAGTGAGCGATATCTGAACCGATCCTGGTGAAGTGTAGATCAAACAATCCCCATGACCAACACGGTGTGTGTGTGTGTCGTGGCTTTTATCCAGCAGCGGATTGACAAATGGTGTTAAATCGACTTCGTTGTTATTTTTAAATCTCTCTGTTTAAAGTGCTGAGACAGTGGCTGGATTTTCCACATTTTTCCGACGGTGTTGGGGGGGGGGATGGAAATCGTGTTTTGTGCAGAAAATTCGCCTGGTGCAATCAGGCACTCGAGGGTGGCACGATGCAGAGCATTCTTGAGAATTAAATTGACAGTGTCTTCCTCCCCCCCCCCAGGCACAATCATCGAGTTGCTTTGCAGTCGTAGCATTTGTTCTGTGTTTTAATAAGAATCGATCAGATATTTATAGCGGTAGAGGGAAAAACGTGGGGCATTATTGTGACCCGACACCTGCGCTGCGTATTATTCTTTCCCTCCTTCCCTCTCTCTCTCTCTTAACGTCAGCAGCCGTTTCGTGTGAGACCGTTCAGAGGATCTTATAAATGGGCAATTACTTAATGAAATGCTTTAGGAGTCAAATTAGTTTTAATAATGGGCAATAAAAAACACGTACGAGTGACTCGAAGCAGGTGTAGCAGCGAGGTGCTGGGTGTACCGATGCTGGGTGTACCGATGCTGGGTGTACCGATCGGTGCTTGCGGTCGACCGCTCGCGTACGATCGTGGAAATAGCGCCGACCACTCCGTGACTATTCTATGAAGCAACAACGGTGGTCTTAATTGTGTGATTCCAGTACAATTGGTGTCTTAGCATTTCTTTCTGCATTAACGTTAATTCATAACAATAATGGCAAATATGTATTTATTAAAGCGTCGGTGAGTGTCGAGGGCACTCTTTTTTTAATCGGCGGAGGCTCTGCCACATTGGGGATGTTTGAGTGAGTCATAATTGGATTTTTGGGTTGAGAAAAAAAATGATCTGAATGAGAGTTTGGTTTAATTTGGGAGGACAGCGGAGATCCCGACGAATGCTCCACCCACCCACCCACACATGAAGGGGGTGACACTCAGACCTGCCACCTTCTGGACACACCTCTCACAGCCATAGACCTACAATATCTGGCTAACCATCGTGGTGGTTGGTGGTGGTGGTGGTTAGTGGTGGTGGTGGTGGCGGTCACCCATCCACGTACTGCTCGGCTCCCAACATCTGATTATATGAATATTATTACCAATCACAAATAGACACATTTGACAGTTTTTAAGAATCCACAATGTAGATATTTTTTTATTTGGCTGGTTTTGATAGCGATGCCTTTGAGGTGAGGTTGGTGGGTCACACAGAAATGGAACTGTTGGTTGTGCGTGCGACTCCCACTTGCGAGACAACGGGGTGGTGCGTGTGTAGGGGCAGTACAGTAAGGAGGTTGCAGGCAGGTTATGTTTGTGGATTTTGAGTGTTTCTCCTCGTGTGTGTGTGTGGGTTTTCTTCACAATAATATTGACCGGATATCCCAGTTCAGCAGCCCGAGACTCAGACTTTCACGTAAACAATTAGATTATATTTTCTGATTATATGTCTGTGGAAAGATGCGTGGGTTGTCATTCCTTGTAAATTAGATTGATCCACTCTTACGAAGGTGGCAACGATGATAGAGTCGTGCATATTTCATCGCCTTGGTTTCATAAAATATATAAACAAGCAAAGTAAATAACCAGCCGAACGTTAACTTCTTTACCGTAGCTTTAGTCACATCAAACATTTTCACGTTGTCTCTTCTGCAATGTTACTCCGATTGTGCTCTCGACTTTAAGGAAATTTCCATTCATAACTCTCGCAGGGCAGTGCTTCACTCCTTGATAAAGATTGCTCTGCGGAAGGAGACGGCGCACGGACTCCATCAGAGAACCTTTGAACTGACCTCTTATCCACATTGGCAGAGCAGCATGTTCCACGTGGCCTGCTAAAGAGATGTTCTTTGTGTGGCGATCAATCCAAAAAATGTGCCAAATTTAGCCACGTGAATTCAGAAACTAGTGCAACATTTTTTTTTTGTCCTGACCATCAACTCCATGGCACCTGAAATCCCGGTTTAACCGCAGGCAGCTGAAACCTGGATGAGAACCCATGCCCTCGGGATTGCTGGCTCAGTGCTCGGACCTCTGAACCACGCGGCCATCTCTAGCTACATCGGGCGTAAACGTTCACAATCTCGTGTTGTGACTGAGTCGAGGGAGGGATTACAAAAAAAGGAAGGAAAGGTGCTTTAGGGGAGGCAGCGAGTCAACACGGCTTTCTTTTTATTGATCCCGGCGAAGGCTGTTCCGAGTGTTGCCACGCGTGCGTTTGGTCTGCGGTGGCAACAACTTAGCAGCTCTGGCCGACCGTCAGCTTTCAAGGCGATGCTAATGCTCGTGGCGCAAGCGAAAAACGCAACTTGGATCTGTGGCGAAACGGAATTCCGCACGCGTACTCACGGCCCCTAGCGACGCCGAGGGAGACAGAGGTGGCTTTGACGGTAGCGGCAGAGGTCGCAAACGGGTTTTGATTCCTTACCCATACCCGTACCCGGCCGCACCAGGGCCGCAAACGGGTACCCGTACCCGGGCGGGTACGGGTAGGGTACGGGTATCGGGTACCTGATTGCGACCTCTGGGATGAAGCCATGTTGCAGGCGCGGGTGGGTTGATTCTAGGAACTTGAATTGTGAGAAGAGACAAGACGTTGGGAAATGAGTGACAAACAGTTACTCACCATTGACTCACGGTCTACCCGTACCCGGCCGCACCAGGGTCGCAAACGGGTACCCGTACCCGGCCGGGTACGGGTAGCCGGGTATCGGGTAGGGTATGGGTATCGGGTACCCGGTTGCGACCTTTGGGTAGCGGCGCCGCAGTTCGGCTCCGTCGTTGACGACGCGCCGGCGGTGGGCAAGCAATGGCTCGGGGTACGCGTGGCAGCGGTTGTCGCACGACTCGCGCGATGGACTTCGCGATCTGGCGCTTGCGTGTTGCGGGCGACGAGGGGATCTCTCTGTTGACGGGCGATTATCGACTTAGCGGATGCGTCGGAGGTAAGAGGATGTCGCCGAGCGCCCCCGCCGCTCATCAGGAGCGTGTCGGTGGAGAGCTGCCGCTTACCCTTTTAAAGAAAGTGAGTCTCGCCTAAGGGAAATGTAATTATTGCAGCGTGTGTTGTTCAATTGGTGACGTCGCTCTAATGGTTTGTGCCTGTGTGTGTGTGTTGTGTGCGTGCACCTTTGTGTTCTTCCCGTGGCCGGTAGGAGTCGCAAGATCCAAGTTCGGAACATCCCTCCCCAAATGCAATGGGAGGTCAGTGAAGTATGCGATAGTTTTTACTCACTGAGCGCTCTACACGTGTGTGTGTTGGTGATAAATAAAATACATGAATCTTCTTGTGTTCCATATCTCCCGATGATGAAAACGCATTGTGTGTTCTGTCGGCCAATCGGATGCCTCCAGCTTTAACCGGTAATAATCACCGGTGAGCACCAAAAGGGGAGAAACCGGCCCAGTAGTTTGTGTATTTAAACAAAATGCTGATAGTTTACATACTTCTAAAATACAAATACAACGTATTTAATTTTGATGTGTAGATATGGATCTCAAGTTAATTTGTGGATTTTATTTACGAGAAAAGGTGTAATTTTTTGCAAACCTATTTATGTTAACCATTCTCTTACGTGGTAACATTTTCTGAACATTTACATTTGATATTCTTGAACAAAAATCTTCATATGACCAATAACGAAATACTGTATTGTTTGTAAATAAACGTGCACACATACAAACAACACGTACATCCGTACATAATGCACACTATTGCACACGCATACATGCGATTGTACGTACAGTTATATGTTAAAACACACACAGCAACATACTTGCATATGGACGCATATATGTCTGTGTCATGCTAGCACTTAGTTTTATTATAATTTTCATGATCGTAAATTTATTTACGTCAAACAAAGACGGTCACTGCATCACACACTTTCAGATACGCTTCTGCGGCCGTCTGGAACGCTCTTCCTTCCGATATTAGGAAGCTACTGGAGCTTATGCACTTTTACACCGTCTAGATTGACAACATCATTTCTTTAGAGCTGCTCTCTGTGTTTAGTTTGTTGTCCTTCCCCCGAATCTCTGATGAGCACGGTTGGCTACGTACAGTGCGAAAGAAGTTCAACATACATACATAAAACGTACGCATGTGCATACTATTGAATCGTTCACATTCTACTAGCAATATTGCTCTTGATTTGCCTCATGTCTAAGCAGCGAAATGTTTCTTAAACTCTCCCCCACCCGCCCCCAACCCCCACCTCTTTCCCACACCCAGCAGGATTAATCGGTACACCGCAGTTAGTTCGATCGGTCGGCCGCTCGCCCGACTGGTGGGGTACAGTGCGGGTACTCGCACCTCTTCCCGAGATGTCTGGCCAGCGTGGAAGAGTAGGCCAAACATCGTCCTCTAAAGAGGGGTTCTCGTGAGCTCTCTCTCTACTGCAGGCCCCGCCTGGCCAGCAGTGGCATGCGCGAGCTCTAGCAGGGCGGGGGGCGGGGGGGGGCTGCATCTTTCACCCTTTGCTCGAGCGGCAGATCGACGCGCGTTGTAGAACGAGGCAGAAATGCGCTCCGTAGCTCCAAGACCAAACGTGTTTTGTTTTTGTCATCTCGGGTTTGTTCAGTTTAATTAATCGGGGGGTTCTTGTTTGTAGGTTTTAGATGGCCTGCTAGCTCAGTACGGGACCGTGGACAACTGTGAACAAGGTGAGACTCTTGCTCAATCCCTCAGATCTGAAGCTCGCTCGGTAAAATCAAATCGCGCGGCAGGTTTATTGTGTCTCTCGGCGACTGTAAGAAGAAACCCCTGTCACACTACATTTGTGTTTTGCGCTTAATTTTGGCAAATTTCAGCTCTTGATAATTAAAACTTTGATTGGCTTTTGGCACAAAATCTTTGCAGGGCATGAAGAGGTGCGCCTGTAGTTTGGGATGAAGAGGTCACTCGAAGTGACCTCAGAAGTAGTTCTGTGATGTCATCTTCTGGGGCCATTCTCTGATACAGGGCTAAATGGAAACGTCTTCATTTTGTAACTTGATGTTGAAAGCACAATCGGCATCTCCTGCAATAGGAGTAGGGGAAATTGCGTGGCCCATCACACCGGCATCTTGTTGGAAATTACAGAAATATCCTGCTCGGCTAACATTTTGGACAATGGCTCTTTCTCCTGGGAAAGAGTGATTTGTGTTTACAACACATTTGCCTCGATCACAGACTGCAAGCAAATCAGCCTGAATGTACCCATCACATCTCGGAAGCTAAGCAGGCTTTGAGCCTGGATGGTGCTTAGATGGGTGGCCACCATGCACCACAGGGGCTACGTGGTGACCGAGCATAATCCATCATTGCACTCTCCTTGTACGCTGCCACATCTATGCTCCCCTACCTTCGCCAAAACGAATGCACCGACTAACTCCTTCGACCCACGTGGCCTGGGGAAGGCCTTCGTCCAGCAGTGGATAGATTAAGGACTGCGTTGTCGACTTTAGAACTGTCTCTCGGTGCATTGCCTGACCTGTGTCCGTGCGCGCGGGCGTGCTTCTTGCAGTGAACACGGAGAGCGACACGGCAGTTGTGAACGTGACCTTTGGCAGCAGGGAGCAGGCCCGGCAGTGAGTGTCACCTCCACCCACTCCCCCTACCCCCCCACCACCACTACTACCACGCATGAAATGATTAGTACACAGAACTTGCAATCCGGAGATTACTGGTGTGGCATTTCAAACAGTGGGGCATGTTTCTTGAATCCCACTTGTACTGTTCACCCAGCGATGTAAATGGGTACATCACAGATATTCGATAGGCAGGTCGTGAGTCGTCCGGTAACGTGTGGGTACTTTTCACATTTTCTCTGATATCTGGCCATCGTGGAAGAGTAGACCAAATACGCTCTCGAGGGGCTCCTTCTAGCAGGGAGGCCATTCTGCCTGCGGCGGTGTGAGCAGGCAATTGTAGGGTTGCACCTTTATTTTTACAAATATTCCTCCCAGCTGCGTAGAGCGAGCGGCTCACGGGCTGAAGGTTGCGAGTCCAAATCCTAGCTGGGGGTTGACTGATCCCATCACCCCCCCCCAGGTACTAAAGTCAGCATTGGTTGCCCCTACGGACAGACTTGTACCCATCATAAGAATGTGCAATTTCCACCACTGGTTGGTGGGCTGAAAACGAGAGATGAGCCACCGCCTCAGGAAATCAATTAAAACACGTGGTCTGTTTGTAAGTCGATTTGTTCGTAAATCTAACGTTACTCCTGTCGATTCCAAACATGTAGTATGGCGTGCACACGAAACACGGGGGAATGGCTTTAAAAGTTGTATAATCTCCTGTAAATGTAGATGCCACTGCTTCTTCATGTTCTGCAGATGTAGATGCCACCACCGCCATCTATTACGCGGCGGTTGAACTTACGACTCTCGATCCGAACAGGCAACTGGACATACGGACAGGTTTGTTCATGTCTCTGAAAGCTCGTCGGTCAAATGTTCGTAGGTAGAGGAGTCCCTGTGCGTACGTGCGTCTACCTCCTCCAGAGCCATCGACAAGCTCAATGGCCACCAGCTGGAGGGCTACTCGCTCAAGGTGGTCTACATCCCGGACGAGAGCGCCGGGCCTCCCCCCGGTCGCCGGGGGTTCCCGGGCGGCCGTTTCGGGGGCCGCCAGCCCGGGGGGGCCGGCGGGCAGGCGGCAGGAGGAGGCGGGGGTCTGGGCGTCGGCGGTGCGTCGGGGGGGCCCGGGGGACCGCACGGCGGGGGCCAGTCCGGCGGCGGGGGCCGGCAGCAGGGCGAGGTGCCGCTGAGGATGCTGGTGCCGAGCCAGTACGTGGGCGCCATCATCGGCAAGGAGGGGGCCACCATCAAGAACATCACGCAGCAGACGCAGTCCAAGTGAGAGGCCAAGCCGCGACGTGCACGTATATGCGCGTCAACAAAGACCCCCCCCCCCCCCCCCCCCCAGTATAGCCTTTAAACAGACTGTAGGGGTATAAGTGCTGTTAGCGAGCACCTATGAAGGTCAGAAAGACAGACGAGGGGATCGGTGGCCAGTTCCACGGCCGGCCGCCTTTGTCTCCCCTGTGGCGATATTTACACACCTTGCAAGGTACTCATTTGAGGCTGAGTCGACCTAGGGGAGGGCCAGGAACCGGTTCAGATTATCGTCATTGATGTTGGCCGTGAACGGGAATGGCACTTGGGTTTCTGGGTTCATTGCGCAGCACGCTACCTGCTCCACTACCACTCCCCACTCACGCAAAAATACAAAGACCCCCCCCCCCCCACCAGCAAAAAAACTGTTGGGACAAGTTCTGTGAGTGAGCATCGACTGAGTCCAGCACAACAAACACATGGACACCATCGCCTCTCCCAGTGCTGGTGTTCACTACACACCTGTAACCAGGTACTTATTTAATGCTGGGTCGACTTACGCGAGTGCCGGGTTTAGGTTCAGATAACACGTGGCACTGATGTCAGCTGTGACCCACGGAATCAAGCGTTGAAAATACGCAAACAGAAGCCACAAGCACCTCCGCGTCTCCAAGCTGCGCGTGAACATTGAGCGCAATGTCGTCATCGTCATCCTGACTTTTCCGTCCCGTCCAGGGTGGACATCCACCGCAAGGAGAACGTGGGCTCGGCAGAGAAGCCGATCACGATCCAGTCGACGGCAGAGGGCAGCTCGGCGGCGTGCCGCCTCATCCTGGAGGTCATGCAGAAGGAAGCGCTGGACACGAAAACGTGAGTGAGAGAGACGCAGAGGTCGCAACCAGGTACCCGATACCCGTACCCTACCCGATAACCGGCTACCCGTACCCGGTCGGGTACGGGTACAGGTACCCGTTTGCGACCCTGGTGCGGCCGGGTATGGGTACGGGTAGGCCGTGAGTAACTGGTGAGTAACCATTTGTCACTCATTTCCCAACGTCTTGTCTCTTCTCACAATTCAAGTTCCTAGAATCAACCCACCCGCGCCTGCAACATGGCTTCATCCCAGAGGTCGCAATCGGGTACCCGATACCCATACCCTACCCAATACCCGGCCGGGTACGAGTAGCCGGGTATCGGGTAGGGTACGGGTACCCGATTGCGACCCTGGTGCGGCTGGGTACGGGTAAGGAATCAAAACCCGTTTGCGACCTCTGGAGAGACGGCTCGCCCCGTCATCCGCGCGCTGTCACCGCCGCTCCCTGCTTTGCGGTCGCGTATGGGCGGTGCTCGATTTTTTATTTATCTGGACGCGAGCTCACGTCCACTATTGATTGAGAAAGTGTTAATGTGCCCTTCTTTAACATCACCTGTCAAAACACATGACTCTTGCTGTTTAAATGTTGATGATATGATAAGTATCTTGCCCCGTGTTATATACCTCCGAAAGTACCTTATCTACAGCACGTAATTACCTGTCGTATCCACCCACCTACCTACCCACCTACCCTACCGAATAGGACCCATTCAGCAACCTCACCAACAGCCAATCTCATGTATTGTGTTCATGGTGATGGTGCTTGTACTGTCGATGCCCATGTGAATCCTGTATTGACGTGATCACTCTTTGTTGATCCCGTGTCATGGTTTTGCAATGATTCGCTTCAGCGTCTCCTCAATACTAGTCTCCTCGGAATATAGCGGCCCCTAGTGGCTGCACAGGTCACATTAACACGTGACATACAACACGTACAAATCCCAACACCTTGATTCTTGCTCATGCGCCTATCCCGAGCTTGACGAACAGTATGAATCAAAGAGTCCATAAGTGGTTGCAATGCTATTTACCCACGCTAACCCCATGTTAACCTCGTGTTTTATTACATATCAATGCCGTTTAAGATTTGTTTAAATGTAAGCTCATGTTTTTCGTTAACTAAGCGAGTGTTTATCTTCACTGTTCAAAGGCCTTTAATATTAGCTGCCAAAAAAAGTCGCACCCAAAGACCAAATATGCGCGCAATATGGAAAGATGTTAACTACCTCGCCTGGTAAACACGAGGTCGTGGGTTCGATCCCGACCCTGACGCTGTATATTTGGAGTCACGTGGATTTTTGGAATCACGTGGATTTTTCTCCGGGTCCTCCTGGTTTTTCCCTCCACGTAGTATTTGGCTGCTATAAATTTCCACGTGATAAGCCGCTTCGTTGAGCTATCATTTGTGGCCAGGTCGCTTCTGAAAAATAGCCTATACAGCTCAGTGGGCCTTACCTGGTAAAATAAAAAATAGTTTTTAAATAGATAATTTCACCCTGGACGTGCGATCACAGTGCCGAGGAGGTCCCGCTGAAGATCCTCGCTCACAACAACTTCGTGGGTCGTCTCATTGGCAAGGAGGGGCGCAACTTGAAGAAGATCGAGCAGGATACCAACACCAAGATTACCATCTCGCCGTACGGAGACCGCACACACCACCGCGTTCGTCTTGCTCTCAAAACCACATCCGCAAGCTTTATGTATGTTCAAATTATTTCGCGCCGTATGTAGCCAACCGTGCTAATCAGAGGCGTTGATATTGAGTGTACAGGCACTGGAGCTCACAGGTCGGCGGTGCCCAGGTGCTGGGTATTTTGTAAAAGGGAGAGGCACTGTTTCAAATGAATCGCAAGTGTCACTCGTAGGTTCTAGATAGATGGATAGTTTTTATTTATTTAAGCAGGAAGGAACCCAGTGAGCCGTTAGGCTCTTTCATGGGTGTCCTGCAACGGTACAGATGTTTCCACTGTGTGTCACAGGCAAAGTTAAAATATTAATTTCTTGGCTACATTTAAAAAAAGTACTCGTTGAAGTCTCTAAACGACGTAACACGGTGCAATCTTTGCTGGGTGACTTGCGCTCCGCCACCAGGCTGCAGGAGTTGACCCTGTACAACCCGGAGCGGACCATCACCGTGAAGGGCTCCATTGAAGCCTGCTCGCAGGCCGAGGTGGAGATCATGAAGAAGCTTCGCGAGGCCTACGAGAATGACCTGGCAGCCATGACGGTACTACCCCTCCTGTCGCCACCTCCTCTGAGGAAAACCTCATTCTTCTAAACTAAATAATTTTGTATTTTTTCAGGTAAGGCCCACTGGGCTATATAGCTCTTTTTCAGAGGCGACCTGGCCACAAATGATAGCTCAATGGGATCGAACCCACGAACTCCTGCATACCTGGCGCGAGGTAGTTAAATAGCTACATAGCTCAGTGGGCTTTACCTGGTAAAAGTAAAATACATATGTTTAGTTTAGTTTTAATGATTACCCATGTATTTAAAGTGTCTAAAAATCTAAGTTTCGAAATCGTGGGAGGTTCCTCTCGTGAATTGCGGCATCAAAGTGGCATTCAGTGCCACTGGGCGAGAAGAGGTCTTAATGTCTGTATCTCACGAGCGGTGTCGCCTCCCGTCTTGTTCTTAAATTTTGGCAGCAACAAGCGAATCTGATCCCAGGCCTGAACCTCGGAGCCGTGGGCCTCTTCCAGCCATCGATGCCGATGGTGCCACCGCCGGTGGGATCCGGAGGCCCCTCCTCATCCTACATGGGCCTCATGGTAAGCAGCCTCCTGACAAGCGGCAGAAGCTCTGGGCTTCAGAATCAGAGGAAATTCTTTTGTTTACCATTGTCATTGTGTTGTTGTTGTTGTTCCCATCAACATCACTGTTGGGATGTTTTCATGAGTCATTTGTGGACTGTGACGTCGGGACACACATGGCCTACGCTTGTTTTGAATGACGACATGGAAACTTTTAACATCCTCTTTGAGCCAGACGGCACCTGTGATTAGCATGGATGGCTACGTACGATGCGAAAGAAGTTCAACATACATAGTCATTTCACGGTTAATATACATGCAGGATTAACCAGGGCAACTGCTTGGCTCAAACCGCGAGCCTCTGCGACGAGCAGTAAACACACTACCGCTCGACCAGGTAACTTGCCCTAGAAGTATCAGGATCGTCATTGTCATGATCATCGTACAGCATCTCTTAACTATGAGTCTCCATCGCCAGTTTCGCCAGCAACATTTTAACCAGACATGATTATCATCACTGTCATCGTTATAATCATCAGAAGCAGCAGGAGCAAATTCATCGGTATTGAACGTCCGGTATTCATCATTGTCATCTAACCACCGTTACCTATGATTCACCGTTATCTTTGTCGGATATTTTCACTGGTGAGATGAAGGCAGCCGGGTGCACCTGCCGCTGGCCACGCTACCACCTGGTCACAAGTGTTCTAAAGCTGCAACAACCTCTTAATAGCCACTTGTGGACAGCATTTATCCTGAAGGCCTCCGTCTATTGAGCGGAGGAAGAGTATCCGTGTGTGTGTGCGTGTACATGTCTGTGTGCGCACATGTGCGTGTGTTTGTAGGAGCGGGTGTGCACGCACGCGTGCGATTGTGTGTGGTGTTCACACACCCACGTGTGTTTGCGTGAGCGTGTGTTGTGTGCACCGGTGTGGATGTGTTTGTATACGTTTGCACACATCCCTGTGTGTGTCTGCATGCGTGTGCGTGCGTTCGCGCGTGTCCGTTTACACGTGCGTGCTTGCCCGCGCGTGTGCGTACGTGTGTGTGTGCGCGTGCCATCCGGTGTAGGCTTGGCACGCCGCCGCGGCCCCGGGTTCTGCCCCGGGTGTTCCGTCGTGCCCCGTAAGTGTGCTGGCACGCACAAGCGCCAAGCCTATTAACGAACACTTGCTTCCTTTTTTTTCTCTCGCGTTCAATAAGTTCCGCCGCAGGCTTGGCCAGTGACCACCAACGCCACCAACTCTCCTTCGCTGCACTCTCCGCCGCTGTCACGCGCGCACCGAAAAACTGAAGTGGAAATAGCCGTTTTAAAATGACGTGTTTTAACAGTGCTTGGGCAGGATTCCATTTCACCGAACGATGTCATTCTTTTCGTTTTTTGCCTCTCAACGCTATGAATATAACCGTCTGTTCTCCACCAGTCCTCATAACGTTGCGCATCGGGCAATCTCTTCTGCTGTGTAAATCCTTTGTGCATCTCTTCAACACCTCTGAAGCTCGTGGAAGCCACTGCTTGGCCCGGCTTTGCTGCCTGCTCCTGTTCACCTGTGGGCGTGTTTTCTGTACCGTAAATTTAACACGCAGCAACGTTTCAGAGAGGGCGAGGGGGAACAACTAATTTGTGGGGACGTACCAGCTAATCGCTGCCAATTTGTTTGCCTTTTACAAGCACTGGGCATTTTGTCTGCCATGGCATTGCGTGAGACATTGCTTCTTAAAAAGATTAAACAAATTTCGCGGACCTTAATCTCTAAGACCTCACGCTTCCCTTGCAGCGAACCTAAGGTCTGGATTTCATTAATTATGATACAATTTTTTATGGTTTTCAATTCAGGTTGAAATTGTTTACACATTAGCCCTCTGTCCTGTCCATAGTGAAGGTGGGAGCACTGTCACTCTCGTCAAGAGGATCCCATGTAAATTAATTTGGAGTATTACATTGTCTTGCTGTTAAGCACTTGCCCTAATGAAACCGGCCCCAATGATAAAGGGGGTGAGGCACAAACCAGAGCAAAAAGGATCATTTCGGAATATTCAAACGTGTTTTGCCCTGACAGCTGCCCTTGGTCTTCCAAATGATTACGAAGACAAACTCACATTGGAAAGCGTTACAGAATCCATGTTGCGTGCATGATTTTTTTCCCAACTTGTAAATAACGATGCCTCCTTCATCGGTCATATGATGCATCACGATGGGTCACATGACCTTGCACGCACTAACATATACAGCACATGCAGAGTTTCAGGTTTATTTTATTTAACGAGGTGAGAACTCATATACCAGGATAAATTCTAATTTGCAATAGTGACGTGTAGCACCAAAACGATGAAAGCAAAACAAAATAAAGTACAACAATGAAGCGAATAGAAATCAAAACAAATTTGGATGGGTAGACGAACAGGATGATCCACTCTGATTCACGTACAGATTTCACTTTTTCGTGTCAGGGCATGTGTCACGAAATCATGAAGGATTTGTCGATACGGCATGTGCACAGGTGTGGTGCACAGTGTGTGCTTATCGTGCACGTGTGTGTGTTCCTGTGTGCACGCGTGCTTCCCCAGCCGTCGGAGCAAGAGACGGTCTTCCTGTTCATCCCGGCGCAAGCGGTGGGCGCCCTCATCGGCAAGAAGGGGCAGCACATCAAGCAGCTGTCTCGGTTTGCTGGCGCCTCCATCAAGGTGTCTTTATCATCGCACTGCCTCCCCGCGGCACCTCCACATCCAGCACCGTCGCCACCGCCGTCACGGTCATCGCATCGCTGCCATCCTCATCTTTGCCGCCAACCTCACCATCGCTATCTTCCTCGACACCGCCGCCATCGTCATCGCCACCATCCTCATCATTAGTATATATGTATGTTGAACTTCTTTTGCACCATATATAGCCAACCGTGCTAATCTGAGGTGCATGGGAAAAACACAAAAGCAGTTATCACCATTGCTATTGTCCCTCACCTTTACAATCATCACCATCATCACCACCATCCTCAACATCACTAACATCCTTGATTGTCGCTGCCACCATCCTCATCATCGGCATTATCATTGACACTAAACTCACTATCATCACTTGCTCTCAAGCACTGCCACAACAAGATTGACATAGTCTTCACTAAATAGGCATTTATGTTGGACACTCTCCTGGCTCCATCACCATGGTTGTGATCGTTATCATCACCATTATTGCCATCCTCGCCATTATCACCACCAGCACCTATGACACCATCCCCATCATCATCATCATCGCCACCGATATCATCGGCATGAACGCTGCCACCATCGTCGCCAGCGCCATTACTGTTATCGCCATGCTACTATCCTCACAATCACCCCCACCATCACCCCCACCATCACCATTATCACCACCACCATCCCCGCCATCACCATTGCTACTTCCACGACCTATGCGAGCCGCAGTTTGTCGTGTATACCATCTTACAGATTGCACCAGCAGATACGCCGGACTCCAAGGAGAGGATGGTGATCATCACGGGCCCTCCTGAGGCTCAGTTCAAGGTAATTTCCTTCAGCTGTGTTCTCTTGCCCAGGACCTAGTACATGCTTGAGTCCCGCCGATCTCATCAGCTCACGCGCACGAAGCAGGGTTCTTGAGCCTGTCTCTGTACTTGAATATGAGATTACAAGGATGGGAATACCAGGTGTTGCCATGGTGGCGAGATGTCAATCACCTCGCTTGCTATACAGGAGGTCATGGGTTCGATGCCGACCCTGACACCTGTATATTTGGAGTTTGCATTTTCTCCCCGTGGTCGCTTAGGCTTTTCTCCGGGTCCTCCGGTTTTTCCCTTCACATTTAGAAACATGCATTTAAGAGTATTTGGCTGCTATAAATTTCCACATGATAAGCCACTTCGTTGACCTATCATTTTCGGCCAGGTCGTTTCTGAAAAAGAGCTTTATAGCTCAGTGAGCCTTATCTGGTAAAATAAAAAATGGTTTAGTTTGGAGGCTGGGGCTATTAAGATTGGCCAGAAGGTGGGTCTTAAAAGTGTCTCTCCCCTTTCCCCGGGGCCGGTGGATGCAGTCTCAGGGCCGCATCTACGGGAAACTCAAGGAGGAGAACTTCTTCAACCCCAAGGAGGAGGTGAAGTTGGAGGCGCACATCAAGGTGCCCTCGTCGGCAGCCGGCCGGGTCATCGGCAAGGGCGGCAAGACGGTGAGCATGGCCCGCAGCGACACCGCACGGCTCCCCGTTATGCTATCTATAATGATTGTTTTATATTTATTGATTTCTTATTAACTTGTCCTTTGTCAGTTCGCTGCTGGATGAGGGCCTCCCCATGCCTTGCAGGTTATGGAGGCTATTTATTTATACCTCACCTTGCTGGTTAGTGTGTGTTTGTGAAGATGGGCAGCGTATATGTGGGAGCATAAAGGTAGATGACAACGGCGGGGTTTGTTAGATTGCCGTTAACTGGCCACTGCGGGGGAGGGGACTTCACCAAGGATCGATCAGATGTCGCTTGCTGCTGAAATTAGCCGTGACTGGGAATAGAACTCGGGTCACCGGAATTATTATCCTGCGTTGTAATACAGTACGAGTGGTATGGAGCTCTCCGTTAGTCTGCATGACCCAGAAAGGATTGAGTGGCGTTGACATTTTTTGGTGGTCCAAAGACTGCGGTGGACATGTTGTGGTACTTATGCCAGGAACCAGGAACACATGGATCCGAGAGTATATGTAAGTTAGAGACGTAGTGACTGCTCAGGAATTGAAAATGGCTTGGGTAGGATACTTCGTTAGAAAGGTGATGGCTGGTGGTGGATCGCTAACAACAGTGGCACCCAGAGGAGGGAACTTGCCCGCGAGGATGTCCGCCATGGAGATGGAGCAATGATTAAATCAGCTAATGTGCAGGCACTCAATGGTGGTGACGACCTGGGGGGGGGGAGACCTTCGTCCATTTGTGGATAAATCATGGCCGCTGCCGACGATGACGTGATGACGACGATGATGATGATGATTGCGTGTCCCCCTCCCATGTGTCCGTGCCGTGTCAGGTGAACGAGCTGCAGAACCTGACGAGTGCCGAGGTGGTGGTGCCACGGGATCAGACGCCAGACGAGAACGATCAGGTCGTCGTCAAAATCATCGGCCACTTCTTCGCCAGCCAGGTGAGCCTTAGTGTGCTTAGTTTCGCGCAAATATAAACGGAACCGTGTTTTATTTCACCAGCCTCTTGGCTTTCCACATCAATATTATCAAGCAGTATTTTTTTTGTAATAGGCAAATTCGACTGGTTTTGACAATCTAAATGTCATCAGCAAGAATAAGACTTGATGTTGTTATTGGCAAGAGCACTCCGTGTAAAATATAGGACACTGTTCGAAATGCAACGTTTTGTAGTGCTTCTTGCACTCTTGCTCTGTAACACATCCTCTAGTGGAGGCAGCAATGTCAGCAGTGGCGTCAGTAAGAAATTGGGGGGTAACTCACCTTACCTTCACCTGTTAATGTCATTAAGTTGAAGCTGAATATTGCGCACTTTTTCCCTGTGGTTGTTTTGAATGTGTGTAATTTAGTTATAGTTTTTTTTCTCTCACTTCGATTAACCTTGTTGACTTTCAAACATTTTTTCTTTTTTAGACGGCGCAGAGAAAGATCCGCGAGATTCTCCACCAGTTTAAGCAGCAGCAGTCCCGACCGGAGCAGTCGCAACCCCGCAGGAAATGATGTCATCGCAGAGGCCCAAGAGGACAACGGGGGGGAAAAAACAGCAAAACGCCAGTGATGATGTCTTCCCTATATTGAGAAGCCAGTATTGATTATTGCCAATGTTGTCTTGTGTTCCATGGAATGTAACTATTGGACAAATTAAATTGTTAATGCACAGGGACGTCGATCGCGGGCGTGGAGTTGAAAGAGCGGGGAGCAGTAAACACAGGTAGCTTAGGGTACAGGGGCATGCACATTAGGTGTCCCGTTGTCGATGGAAGGCGACGGGGGACACGGGACTTAATTATTACTATTTTAATTTTTTTTAACGACAGCTTTTGGGGAAAACCGAAGCGGGCTATTAAACTGTGCTCTTGAGAGTGCCTGCTTTTTTGTCGTGCGGCCGCGGCCGATAGTAATCGTTGCCGAAGCCCCTCGGCGCAAGAGAGCAGTTTTAGCGGTAGAGGCGTTTGTCGAAGACACTGCCCGAGCTTTGCGTCGTTCGCGACCGGCGCCCGCGTGGGCTTGCGGAGCGGCGAGCGTCGTTCTCCCTCGAGCGGCGTGGCGCGAGGCGGCGCGACAAGGGAGGCGACATTTTGCGCGCCGCAGTTTGCCGTGCTTCGTGCACGGAGAACGTCGCGACGTCACGCCGCAACCCAAGCGGCTGAGATCAGAGAAAAAAATCTATAATACTCTAAGGCACACGATGATTGTATAGGATTTTATATATATACACAAAGCTCCGCTAAATGCCTTGCAAGTATTGGCACAAGAGATTTTGTTTTTCTGTTGCTCGTGCTCTTCGCCTTTCCCTTTCACATTCCATGGAATCGTTTTTATCGCGCAGTTTCCCCCGTCGAATATTTCGAGGGGACGAAATTGCACGCGGCTTGATATTTCTTCGTAAAACATATCATTGGGCGCGTTTCCGAAATTGTGCTTGCGCTGGCTTCTTTGGTAAGCCAGCAAAGTTGTAAAGCTTTTTCTTTTTATTAGATCTGAAAAGGGTCTGAATTGATCCCTTAAATGCGTTATTTTGCATTTTTATGAACACAAATGCAAAACAGGGCTTTCTTGTAACCGTTAGGGTTAAGTTAGTTGAAACGTGGCAAAGAAAACCTATTCAATTTAACAGAACTGAACGCGATGAACCTTTTAAAGAGTTGATCGAAACACTGCGCAATATTCGTGTCATGCTGGTTTTGTATAGTTGTCCTCACCGCAAGGGGTTACATTAAACTGCTCTCTTTGGATACAGCTGCTGCAAAAAAATTCAAGAATTTTAAAACGCCGTATACTTTTAGCTGGCCGCCAATATGTTAAAACAAAACACAAGCTATAATGTAATGATGAGGAAATAATAATGATAATACATTTTTTTAGCATAATCTACCTCAGGCATATTTAGTACCTCAATGTATTTCATTTTTTTAGTTATTTTGTATGCTTTATATGAAAAATAAAAAAAATTAATAGACTTTATAATGTTTTATTTTTTTAATAAAATGAGAAGTTTGCGTTCATTGATGAGGAAGCTTGTTGGTAGCATTTTGAAGGCGGTTTGCCTTCAGGACTTCCTGTCAATGGATCCACGTTTGGGACGTTTACTCATTCAACTCAAATTTATCAAGGAAATTGTGTGGCAGAGATCAGTAATGATCAACGGACATTTTGTTTTGCCTTTATTATTTTTCTCATCCACCGTTACAAATTTTAGGTTGAACTTTTAACTTTTTTTCAACCTCAATTCTTCTGAGGTGTGTGTGTGTGCGCTGATGCTAGTTTTGTCGAGATGTGGGGAAGTTTAAAGATGGGGGGGGGGAGGGAAACTAAAAGAGATGATATATATTAAACTACAAGAAATAACGCGAATCGATTTGGATTTGCGTTGTTGCTGATGGTGCCAGGTTAGGTTTTAAAAATAAATTAGCGCATGAGAGGGAGTGAATACGCACACATAATTGTTGGTAAAAATGTCGTGAGATGATGCTACGGATTTTTTTTTTTTTACGTGTAGTCGTATTTGTGATACTTGGATTGCGGTGGGAAACTAAACAAAATATTGTTTCCTTGCCCAATCTTAAAAAAAAATGACAAAAATGACAAAAAAATCCCAGAAAACTTAACAAAAACAACTTGTGTCGTTACATGATGTTCACCTTATTTTTGTCCGGAGATTCCATGTGCATCAAGGGTGCTGTATGTGCTGTGGTAAGAAGAGGTGGTTTTAACTTTACGTTTCCACAATACAGGTTTCAGGCTTGCGAACTTAACTGTGACAATACTGTGCCAGAACCTATCACGGATGAGCATCCTCCTCACAAACTTAGTGAATTCATCCCATCCATCTCCCTCACTTGCTTCCCACCCCCTGCGGCCTAGTGACCGACCCAGGGAACGTGCACCTTATCTGGGCAGCGTTCTAGGCAAGGTCAGTGGGGATCCTTGTCTGGAAAAAATGTTTGAATACATGTTAATGGTAATTTAGGTCGTGATATAAGAAAAATATATATTTGGCATTAAGCCCTGCATCACTTAAAAACAAGCTTTAGTGACAGGTGGCTGGCCCGTGGTTTCCTCTCTGGCGATTTCACGGCCGTTGCGAGGGGTGGTCATGGAAGTCTTGGCTCTGTTTTAGAAAAGAGAGCCAGATTGCCCCATGGCTGGAACGTTTGTGACATTATTGGTTCGCTTACAATATCTGGAAACCCCACATAGCCCTTTTCCACTGGCTCATGTTAGCTGATCCACTCCCGGTCTAGGTGAGTTTCCACTGGATATTTTCTGAGTCGAGCTAAAATGAATTTGCGAAACTGGCCACACATCTCAAATCTGGCTCGGAGGGGGGGGGGGGGGGTGGACCAGGGCCAGGGGTCGGGTTGATAATTTTCATCGCACTCGTCTATTGCATGATGACGTGAATGCCACGACTTGGGTTCTCCCATCAGAAATGCAACAATGACGCTGCCTGGGCTGTACCGGGCTCGATCGGTGTAGCCCCGAATGCAACTCGGTGGGAAAAAAAATGAGAGATATTGGAGGAGGCCCTGGTTTTGTGGTTCGTGTAGAGTTCAGTTGCAGGCCACTTGCAGCTGGTTGTGAGAACGTAGCATCAGTTTCCGGGAAAGCCTCGTTGGGATCACAACCCTACCGTTGTGGCTTTGAAAATGGCCGTGGTTCCGGAAACACGGTCTGCACGTGGCTAAGTTGAAAACAAAACTCGTGCGGAAATGTGTCCCGGATTTTTAGTTTTTACATTTTTATAGGATCAAAATGAAATACATCACAAAACGAGATGAGATCAGCAAAAACGTGTTTAGTGTTCGATAATTTCCCCCAAGTCCTTTTCCCATCGTCAAACGTAATTTTGCATTGAAAGTTCTAATTAGCATCGAGTAAAGCTAGATAATGACCATTTACTTATCATACCTATGTACTGGCAGATTGTTAAATGGACCTCTAACATCCATTTTTAGAGTACATCTTTGCTCCCCCACCTCGTTAATTAGTTTCAGTAACGACTGCTAAAATAATGAACGTAATCTTTCTCGTGTATATTTGATGCTTCTGATTAATCGTAGATCGGTAGCCCGTATCTTATGGGGAAATCGTGTTTGGTTCAAGATGGGGTGGGGGGGTGTTTCCTTTATTTCACTCATAAGTTGTGGATACTCCAGATTTCCTGCAAGTCAAGTAGCCTGCTTTGATCAAATTCAGGAAACAGCAAAAAAAGATGCATAGTTTGGGGGGGGGGGAAAACTAAAAAAATCACAAAAAAAAAAAAACCCTACCTCTTCATTCTGCCGAATGATAGCTTTTGAGTTTGATATTATTTTGCTGTTTTTATCTATTTCCTCTGTCTCAAGATTAATCAGGTTTTATAGTACCCATGGCAGTGAATATTTTGTACACTGACAAAACGGTAACATTTTAAAAAGCTTTAATCTCCGCTTGTAGATCACGTAAAATCATGTATACATTATCGCAGTATAACCTTCCTATGCTTTTTGATCACAGTGAAGTTTTTTGAGGAGATAATACTAAGAATTTAATGTCGACATTCTCTAGAAATTGCATTGCTCTCGATTACTAACATTTGATAAACAGTGAAGTTTTTCGTTTTTTTAAATATACTCTATACCAATCTAGCAGCTCAGCTTAAATGTATGTGTTCATGGTGTTTGCAGACTTGGTTGCAGACCTATTTGAGAATTTAACTACAACAAAAAGCCCGAAAACATTTTTTTACCAACAGCTACACATCACAACTTCTACGAGTATCACATGACACAATGATTGAAAGTTTGCTCAATAACCAACTCTCTTTATTTGTCAACGTTTGCTTTTATTTTCTTCGTTAATGCCCTGCACATTTGTTGTGTCACGTTAAACGTTTGCCCAGTGTTCACACTACGTGGAACCACGATTGATAGATCACATGCATTTTGGTTCCACGCCTCATTTGGCTCTGAGAATCGAAGCTTATCGGTTCGACGTCGTGCAAAGAACAGGGGCAGAGAGTGTGGAAGAGGGCTGCTCCCCTGAGGTGTGGACTCGAGTCATGTGACTTGGACTCGAGTCAGACTCGAGTCATGAATTTGATGACTTCAGACTCGACTTGGACTTGCATAACAATGACTTTGTCCCACCTCTGACGGTGTGGACTCGAGTCATGTGACTTGGACTCGAGTCAGACTCGAGTCATGAATTTGATGACTTCAGACTCGACTTGGACTTGCATAACAATGACTTTGTCCCACCTCTGCTGCTCCCCACCTACTGTGGTGGAACGAATCTTGGATGTATCTCTCATCGGATTCCGTGGTGCTGTTCTGTTATTCGAAGGGTTACACGCAACGCGGTGCGAGAGATTCAAACGGGCAACTTCGTCGAGTGACATTAACACGAATAGAGTTGCATTCGGCACTGGACGAAACGTTATTGTAGAAAGTGCCGCTATGAAGCCTATTAATCATGCACCCCATGCTCACCGATGTTTCCCCCCTCTACCGAAACAGCGTTCTGAACACTGCCAGAAAAATTACATTCGGTGTTCTGAGAAGTGCACCGTCGTTGAAAGTCACATTTACACCACTGGACAATCGAAATAAAATTGGGCGAATTGGCGGCAGCAGTCGTGACAACAACAAAACTTGGCCAGCGTGAACGCAGGGGCTGGAAGGTTTAACGCTTGTGGGGCACTGGGCAAAAAGAGAATAATAGTGGACTGCTATGACACCCCTAAGGGGAAAGAACTCCTCTGCAAATGTCTTGCTGAGTGTGTACAAATTGGCGCTCAATCGCAAGTTAGTGTGTAATCTTAACAGCTCACGTGACACGCACTGGGCAGGAATATTGAGGTTAGTCGGTTTAACGCTGAAGACTTTCGCTACCAATATCCATAATAGAGGTTGTTTTTGGGTTAGATTGCGTGAGTATGAATGTCGTTAAACCCGCCACCACCCGACACAGCTAATTACGCGACAAACCTTACTAATCGTCTTGTTGGGTGGTGGCAGGTTTAACGACACATTTATATTTACACTATCTAACCCAAAGAAAAAAACTATTATGCAAGAATATTGATCCTACCTCATCAGTGTTACTCTCTTTCAAGTGTTTGAAGGGTGTTATGTTATTTTTTTTAATGTCCACACTTTTTTTGGAGTTGTATTTTTTTAGGAGTTAAATGTATTTAACTGAATGTTACTAACTGATCAACACTGACTTCAGTAGCTGAGCGAGAAACGTAACATTGACGAAAACTAATTAGGCATTGACTGGTGGATTTATAGCAGGAGTGGTAACGACTTCTACAGGTCTTTCACTTGAATAGTTTCTTATCGGTAGATACACACAGTTGCATTTGTACCCACGTATATACCTTAGATCGCGCATACATTTCCATTGATTTATGATGCAAAAACTTGTTCAAAGCACCGATGAAACCTTTACCATGTTGATATCCGATTACAAAACTAATTTTCTCAAACGGACTGCCAAAAACAAAGTTTCCCAAACTTCATTTCTTACGATCCTCCCTCCCCCCACTCCACCACCAGGCTCCGTTATTGCGCGTTCACCAATTTACTGCACATTCCAATACACAAAATAAGTATAACCCGTAAAAACAAAGTTTTTCACTCTAAATCCTTTATATGCGTGGCGGCTAGAGTCCTCTCGTCCTCTGGCTTGAGATGGCTGCCACCTATAGGTCAGATGAGTGTCTGCCAGTATTAAGCAATTGGTAATTAAATATTTAATTTGTTTTCCCTAAACAGTGTAAAATTTTGGAAAAAAAATTTCACGAACATTAATTGTCTCGCACAACGAGTCTGTGTGCAAAATGTCAGCTCGATTGGATAACGGGAAGTGGGTTAAAAAACGACCGAAAGATTTGCACGGTCGTAAGCAAGCAAGCACGCAAGCAAGCGAACTTAATATAAAGGATTTAATAACGCGCTGCGCGCCGCCGATGATTGTTCAACACGTCCGACGTGATACGCTAAGCAAGTCACGCTGTCTGCGTCACGTAGAACACGTGTACACACACGACGAGATCTAAATCTTCATTTGGATCGGCTCGATGAACGCGTAACGTGGGACGCGTTTAACAATAATCGGGCGCGTGCATACGGAGAACGATTTAATGTTGTCTTTGAATGGGAAGAATATATTGGCAAACGGAAATATGTAACGTGGTGGTGGTGGGGGAAGATCGTGAGGACTGGAGTTGGGAAACTGGCCTAAAACATTACTACCACCCAAGAGCAAACACGCATTTACAGCTGAAAGTTTGAGGATTTGGAGCTAGATTTGTGGTTATTTTCAAATAGAGCATTACAATAACTGAAGGTTGTGTTTTTTCCTTCTCTTTACCTATTCCGTATAAATAGTAGTAATAACGCTTTACATAGTTAACAGTGATGAAGATCGGGTCTCTAATGACTCTTAAAGTTTATCTGGCGTCTGTAAGGTTTTCGTTCCCTCTTGACGGCGTTGTCTCGTGGTTCACATGCGAGGTGGTGGGAGGGCCGGGGTAGTGGTGGGGGGCATGATATCGATCACACGTGTGATTAATCGACACCTTGCTTATTTCCAAACGTGTTCCCGTTACAATTGTGGAGGAAAAAATACATGGGGGTTGGGGGGGGATAGCCGCGCTCGCTCGGCACCCAACGATCGATTGGTTAATCGATGAACCTCCCATTCTTTATATTCACGGTGCATACATTGAATCACGCTTGAGAGAGACTTGATAACGATTTGGAGCAAATTATATGCAAGAGATGGTGCTCGTGTTACAGGTGTGGGCTCACGGAGGGAGTGGGGTGCGCTGTGTAAGATAACTAAAGATGTGTTGTGCGTTGTTGCCCCGTCTTGATCGACGTGCACTCAAGAAGCACTGGGGTGCGAAACGTCGGAAACTGCCGAACAACGCGCGGTGCACGAAGGCACGCCCTTAAACCACGTCGCGGAAGGTGTACAGCACAGCCGCGGAAACCCTACGAGAGAGAACAAAAAAAAAATCAACAATTGATTTTGTGACCCTCAATCTTGACGATGAATCCACTCGTGAACACTTTGTGCGTTGTACCAACGTAATTGAATTATATACGGAAGGGTTCCGGTTTTTAGCTCACGCGGTAAAGAATCTTGGATTTTATCGAACCACAACTTCCTCCCGCAGAAGGAAAAAAATACTCCAAATGAAGTTGACCTAATATCCCAAGCGGTGTCGAAAAATGCATCTTAAAAAGAAAAAAATCTACAAGATTCCGTAAGGCTTTGCGGCAGGGATACATATTCTAAAGTACAATTAATTCAAGTCTGTTTTATTCAGTACTTGTTACGTCAATGAAATGTGACCGTATACATTGTAAAGAACTGATTTTGTTATTGGCTTAAGTGCCACCGCTTCCCTTACCCCCCCCCCCCCATGATATTAACCACGGAGCAGCGGAGAGGCTGTGGTAGTCGCTTTTGGTGTTGATTCATTGTTGGTTCTGACTGTTTCGGCTCGGTCTCGATCCATGGTTGAAATAACTTCGGCGGAAAAAAAGAAACCAGGTTCTCTTAATTGAATGCTTATAAAAATGCAGATGAGCACAAACAATAAAAAAAACAATCTCCAAGGAGTTGTAAGTCAAAGTGTTGCTCGACGGCATAAAATAATCATACTCGCATACAATGTTAAAAGGCAGCTGAGACGGCTATGGTAGACGTGTGACTCCTTGATGTGGTTAGATTTTCGCGACTACACTTTTACATTTTTAAAGAGGACAAGCTGGGCTGGCGCATGCCAGTTTCCGAGTCGATCCACCTCTTTCGAGTTTTTAGAAAGTACAAACAACACGATGCGATTGTAATTCTGGTCCTTCATTGACTTGTCAGAGTACATGCAACTCGAGCATCGGGTCGTCGGAATGGAAATGCTTATCATTTATATCGGGTCCCGTTCGCACACCGCCGAATACCTTCTGGGTCGTTGGTGAACTGGACGAGGCACGTGGCCAAGTAACCGAGGACATGGTGGTGTGTCGGGTACGAATATATGTGTTGGGATCGCCGACCCCTGAGAGATACAAATGGTAAAAAAAAAACACAGATTAGACCGGGGAACAATGCCAGGTGAATTTTACGACATGTAACAGGGCGTTGCGAATGGCTTTCCAGCTGTGCAATGTTTCCACATCCGGCTCACCATACCCATTATACCTCGCGTTATGTCCGTATGCATGTTTAACTTCTCTAGCGCGCACCGTACGTAACCAGCCGTGATAATGATCGGACTCGCTGCCTCCGAGCCACGTGCCACTTACCGGACTGAAGCCGAAGTGATGCACTCTGCATTGTTCCCATTCTCAGTGGAGATTCCAAGATGCGGTCACTTTTTGATTGAATCGGGTCTCTTTTTTTAAAGAGAAGTTTCACTCATCTGAACTTTCAAGAGCAGTTCCACTCATGCTGTGAAGCAGTGGAAAACACGAGATCAACTTTGGACGAGTCGTATATATGCGTTGTGCAAACAGCTTCGGACCTTTTTTTCCTTCTTAAAATGAACTTTTAAGAATAACGCGAATGCTTTTAAAGTTAGAAACAGTGAGTCGTGGACCTGAATATTTGTGTCATAAAACCGAATTATACAATTTTGCATTTATAAAGCGTCAAAATGCAACATCTCAAAATTGTAGCATGCTTAATTAAAAAAGCGTAATTTGAGAGCACATTTAGTAAAAAGTTAAAATAAAACCATCCACCTGCACGAGCTGAAACAAGATTAATTCGTGATTTTTTTTTACAATTCCTGGTTGACATATCTTCCCGTTTCCAGTCCAGTTTACCATGTCTACCAGAGGTGTAACGATACGTCTATTAATCGACCTCTATCTATTCTCGTGCTCAGGATACACGCATCGAATCTCGTGCGCAAGAGTCACGATGTGTGTCATGGTGATGGCTCCGTTTACCACAATCGTAAACAAAATTGTGACAATTCATCGAACCGCGCCCGGAAAGAGGGCTAGGCAGGTCTTTACGCCTCTCATGTCTGCATTATGTACTGTTATTGTGCCTGATAAACCTATGACTGAATGCCAGTTTGCATGTGGGACGATGCTTGTTTGGCATCATAAGCTCTTGTGCTGACAGCGACTCCAGAGGACATTTGTTTGAAAAAGCAGGGGGGTGGGATCTCCGGCAAGTTTTCCGTTATCGTCAGCAGAAATGCAAAAAAAACCCCACACACATAGGAGGATTTAAAAAAAAATGTAATGGGAGTCATCAGAAACGCGCCGTGGTCTGTTGTATCGCGTCGATTACAAGCAAAGTCCGTTTATGTATTTCCCGTCGGCTCGCACAACGATTCGCCAGCGAGTGAATGCGGCGGTGGTGTTGTGAGGCAGCGAATTACATTCTCTAACCGAGGCACAACTACACAGACAGTAATAATATAAAGGGGCAAATGCAGGAATGTGATTTGTAAACGGGCGATGTTTTGTCCCAAGTGTTCTTTTTATATAGGCATCACGAACAATTTATAGGTGAGCGTTAACTGAAAACAAATAATTATCAAACTTTTTTTACTGACACATCACAATGGGAAGATTAATATGCAGTTCACCGTCTTCTCTGCAAATTGTGCTTTTGATAGTTTAACGCAGTCTAACACATAATTGTTTATTTAAAAAAAACTGATAACGTATGGGGAGTGGAAATATCCATACATTATTTTGAAGCTACTTAGAGAATACATTCAAATAGGTCGCTGTTTGGAATGGCAAACCATTACTGTTACAATTGAGGAAAATGAGTGAAACTATATTCAAAACAAATCCTCATAAAGCAACCTTTCTAAATATTGCTGTGTATGAAATAATAAGTTACAGCCCTTTACCAATCCACTTATGGATGAAGGCATTCCCATCCAGTGTTGGTGATGAGGCTTGTTTGACCATACTTCACCACTTTGGTCAGTGCTGGTTAGTCATAGCACATTGTGTCAGTCACTGTGCCATTGGCTTCCTCATAACTCTATTCCGCTGTCTGAATACCCCTCGAAACGGCTCGTACTCACCACCGTCAACAAGATGTTGTTATTATTGTTTAGAACTTTGCCTCCGTGGATTTAGATCGCACCGGTGTCCAGCAAAATTGTAACTTTGGTCGTCACTCTTTTAGGAAACATTTTAACGCTTTAGATTAAGGACCGTGAATAAGTTTTAATTTTAATTTCTGGCTTGTGTATTTTGTTGTTGTTGTTGTTGTCGTCGTTGCTTGGATCCTACGCTGCTCATGAGGAATAAAACGACCGAGGTTGGGTTTTTTTCTCTTTCATGTCTCTGTAAAAAACAAAAACAGACGATGCTGGGAATCCTGATGCAAGATACGGAATTGTTATTTTGTAATTTTATCTTTCATTAGTTCTTTGATCAACAGACTTTGCTTGAACGGGATCCATCGCCCAGTTGCGGGGTGTGGGGATGCCTTTTTTGTGTCTCCCAACATTTCAATAAAAGCAAGATGCTGTCCCAAAAATAATCCACCGTCTTCTGCTTGGTGATTTTGTTGTCTGTTTTAACTTCCACAGCTTGCCGGAGTAACACCTTCAAACTACAGGATGTTGCCGCCCCTGCGATGTAAATGTTTCGTCACTGGGGATTTGCAGACTTCCGAGGGTCACGGGATTCGTCGCTTTATCTTCCGGCTTGGCAGTTAGAATTCATGGTATCAAGTTTCGTAAATTCTCGCCTCTGTTCATGGGTCCACGACATGTCGATCGGCATGTCGTGGACCCATGAACAGAGGCTTGGTGACCCCCCCCCCCCCCCCACGTTGTTGATGTGCACAATAAACGACGTTCGTACGAGTGAAATGAATGCACGCACACCTTTATCCACAAGGGAAGCGAGCACATGATCTTACACACGCGCACGTGTTCACGGTTGCGTTGCACTACAACTCTTTCTGCAGTTCGTGAACGAGCTCTCAGCTCGTGGATGCGTCGTGTTGGCTCGTCGAGCCGAACTAAAGGGCGGTAGAACCCGAAAACGAAACGATTTTTATTTTATTTTACCAGGTAAGGCCCACAGCTATATGCCTCTTTTTTTCAGAAGCGACCTGCCCACAAATTGTAGCTCAACGAAGTGGCTTATCGTGTGGAAATTGAGAGCATCCAAACACTCGAAACGCGTGATGTTGATTTGAAATGTGGAGGGGAAAACCGGAGGAGCCGGATAATTCTTTTTTATCCGCTCCACGACCATGGAGACAGAGAAAGTGAGCCACGCAAACTCCACATATACAGCAGCAGGCGTCAGGGTCGGGATCGAACTCACGAACCTCCTGCACACCAGGCGAGGGAGTAAACAGCTCGCCGCCGAGGCGCTTGGGAGAGATTCGCAGCCAGCGTGTGACTCGCGCAGTCGGCTGCCCATTGTGAGAGGTGACACCACCACGACGAAGGGCTGCCCATTGTGAGAGGTGGCACCAACATCACGAAGGGCTGCCCATTGTGGGAGGTGGCACCACCACCACGAAGGGCTGCCCATTGTGGGAGGTGGCACCACCACCACGAAGGGCTGCCCATTGTGAGAGGTGGCACCAACATCACGAAGGGCTGCCCATTGTGAGAGGTGGCACCACCACCACGAAGGGCTGCCCATTGTGGGAGGTGGCACCACCACGAAGGGCTGCCCATTGTGAGAGGTGGCACCAACATCACGAAGGGCTGCCCATTGTGAGAGGTGGCACCACCACCACGAAGGGCTGCCCATTGTGAGAGGTGGCACCAACATCACGAAGGGCTGCCCATTGTGGGAGGTGGCACCACCACGAAGGGCTGCCCATTGTGAGAGGTGGCACCACCACGAAGGGCTGCCCATTGTGGGAGGTGGCACCACCACGAAGGGCTGCCCATTGTGGGAGGTGGCACCACCACCACGAAGGGCTGCCCATTGTGAGAGGTGGCACCACCACGAAGGGCTGCCCATTGTGAGAGGTGGCACCACCACGAAGGGCTGCCCATTGTGAGAGGTGGCACCACCACGAAGGGCTGCCCATTGTGAGACACAGAGGAATGGCCACCGTTGTGTCCCTGGTGCTCTTCACGCGCCATGCCCCACGACGACGAGAACAGCAACAGCCGCCGACGTTCACCACGAAGTTGCGGCGACGTCATCGCGGCGCTTGTGCCAGGCTAGGTGTACCTTGAGGTCACGTGAAGTGTGAAACCACACACACACACGCGCGCGCAGCTGGAAGATCAAGGAACAATAGCAATGCAACACATTGTTCATTTCAAGCATCAATAAAACCTCGGAGCCTTTGGAGGTGGTGCCCAATCAGGCCACATGGCGCGGCACTTTGCGTTGTCTGCGGCGTAAATGCTCCACAAACACGCGAACAATAAATCCTGCAGGGTGAAGAAGAGTGTATTTAAACCAAGAGCACCCCCCTCCTGCCCCACTTTCCATGGCATTTGCGTCGTGAAGTTTGAGAAGTGCCTCTGCTAAATCCCACAGACCTGCAGCCAAATTGATCACCGTCTCTTATTAAATGGAAGTACATCTGTTAGAATGTGCATGTCCGTCGTTCTAGTAAAGATGAGCTGAGCCCCAGGCCCTTCCTTTGAAACAAAGCTGAACACATACCTGCGAAGATTTTTGTTTAGTTCGAGATGCTCTTAAGAATGTCTATATGTCTCAAATTTAAATAGAATTCATGCTGTGGTGTTCCCCCTTTTCGGTTTTAATACCATTTGCATTCATCCCCTTTTCATGTCCTGCAACTGGGTACTTGCAGTGGTTTTAAACTCCGTGCCAGCCCATCCATCAGGCCCTTCCCCGTCCGAGGCAACAACAGATCTTCAAACGGCGTCGGGTCAATAGGGTGAGGCTGCAATGTGCCACTTCACCCACCCACCACACCATCATCGCTACTCCCCCACACACACACACAACTCCTCCACCAAGCTATCCCAACCCCCTCTCGCTAGAACGCCCCTCACCCCCATTCTCACCTCTGACCTTTATCCACCAAACCCCACCAAGTGTTCTGTGGATAAAGTACAGTACCAGATTGTTCTGTGTTTCTGGACAGAGCTATATAGAGAAACGACACCACCGTTGTCATTTACCAACCGAATAATAGGGGCGAATGCTTCGTAGGGCAACGAGTCGTCCTTCAGAGACATCTGGTAAATAAATTTAGGATTGCAAAGTGGTCAACTGAATACAACTGTTGTAGGTCTAATTTTCGAATTAAAGCTTTCGTGACTGCGGGGATTCATCTTCTTGGTTCTTTCGGTAAAGTCACGACAGACCCGTTCTTCACCTGAGGACGGCTGCTTGCGTTGTGGCCGAAACGTCGTGAGAATTGTATTTTATTATGTTTTATTTTTATTATTCTATTATTTCCCTTCTACGTGACTTTACCGAAAGAACCAAGAAGATGTTGGAGGTCTGTGCAGTTGTGCTCGACCAGGATACGTCTCGGATGGTCTTTTGTCGACAGTTTCGATTTGGTTTCCTGAAGAAAACTCTGAGCACGAGGAGTGAAACGTTGGACACCAATCATGCCAAACAACACGGCGGCACAGTCCGAAGACCGATCTGAGAGCTCGCGACTTGAGTCTGCGTCTGTTTTCAGGAGACGCGCGTGGTATCGATAGATGGGAGAAACAAAACATCATTATTACCATGATTGTTGCAACTGCTCATTGGTTTTTTTTGGCTTCTGTCAAATGGCAGGTCATCGGCACGGCCTCCTCCTATCTCCTCTGTTCGATCTTTGAGCTCGCTTCTTCATTTCAATGAGAACGAAGAAAATGCTTTACCCCTTTCTGGCAATAATGCATAATGTGTAAAGATGCCATCAAGGCATATTTGTTGTGCATATTTTACCACAAGTATGCGTGTGTTCAATGCAGACTAGATGCTTTGTAAGAGGTGTATATTTGTTCTCTTTGAGTTGTTTCGGTAAAGTCACGTAGGTAAAAAATATTTTTTTAATAAAATAAATTAAAACAACTAAATTAAATCACGACGTTTCGGGCACAACACAAGCGTCCTTCTTCAGGTGGGGACAACGTAGCGAATCCTTGCATTCACGAAAGCTTCAAATCTAGAATGTATATTTGTTGTTTTAATATCTTTACACCTCTTGTATTATCGCCAGAAAGGAAGCAGCCTTTTAATAGGGTGCTGGCAAAACAAGTCCCGTAAATAAAACTGATTTTTCTTTTAACTGCATTTTGCCTTTCCCCTTCCTTCTAATTTCCCATCCTTCATGATCCGCCTCATGGCTTTTTCTCCAACAACTTGTCGAGCTGTCACAAATGCATTCGTTTCTGGATTACTTTCAAGTGCTACGTGATATAATCGTTTTTTAATAGTATAACATGGTAAAACAAAACAAAAAAAACCTGCTTTTCAACATTCAGTTTTTTTTGAAGAAATAAACAAATCAATTGGCACGTTTGCCCCACGTGATTGGCTCTGTCGGGTGGCGGAGGTTATCGCTGTCGTTATATCTACACGATCTCATCCAAAAACAAATAATTATTAATCATAACATTTGTCCTGAAAGCCTAGGAACGTAATTAATTTACAGCCGTTTGTCCTTCCACTGATGCATGAAGGCCTCCCCATGCGGTACCGTTCATAGGAATTGCTCGACCATACTTCACCATTCTGGTCAATGTGTGGGGGTATGCGATGAGGATGTCTTCAGATGTCACTCGCCACTGATGTTAGCCGTAACCCGGAAAACGAACTCGGCGTCGTCGAGTTTAAAGTGCAGTGTGCTAATTACTGCACCACCGCTCCTCCGGTTTACAGAACTATAACCATCGGGGAAGTTTGACTTCTATAATCGGGGGGGGGGAGGGGTTCGCTTTGGCCCTCACATTAGGAATCGCGTGTGCATATAATACATGTTTAATCTGAATTGTAAACTACTGAAAATAAATTAATAAAGGTGTCCAGTTTGGGTGGGGCGCCGCACTCCTCGTGCCCCCCCCCGTGCCCCCCCGTGCCCCCTCCCGTGCCCCCCCCGTACCCCCCCCGTACCCCCCCCGTGCCCCGCCCGTGCCCCCCCCGTACCCCCCCCCGTGCCCCCCCCGTGCCCCCCCCCGTGCCCCCCCCCGTGCCCCCCCCCGTGCGCCCCCCCCCCCCCCGCGTGCCCCCCCCCGCCCCCCCCCCGTGCCCCCCCCCGTGCCCCCCCCGCCCCCCCCCCGTGCCCCCCCCCGCCCCCCCCCGTGCCCCCTCCCGTGCCCCCCCCCGTGCCCCCCCCCGCCCCCCCCGTGCCCCCCCCGCCCCCCCCCGTGCCCCCCCCGTGCCCCCCCCCGTGCCCCCCCCGTGCCCCCCCCGTGCCCCCCCCCGTGCCCCCCCCCGTGCCCCCCCCCGCCCCCCCGTGCCCCCCCCCGCCCCCCCCGTGCCCCCTCCCCCGTGCCCCCTCCCCCGTGCCCCCCTCCGTGCCCCCCTCCCACACAAACTCTGACTTTAACTTGACAATAATCATATTATTGCTATTTCTGTTTT